TTTTTCTCTGCATCTCCAATGCTCTGATTAATTGGTAGGTATTCTCAAAGCCTTCTGGTTTAGAAGGAACCTTAAATTGTGGGAAACTCCTAGGGGTTCTAGACTCGCCCTCAGTCTATCTCTGGCCTCGGTCGTTTTGGACCGTCCTTTCATCCAGTATTCTGGGTTCTGGTCGTGCGAGCAGCAACTGTTTCAGCTGGTTCCCATCTCCCATCATGGTCAGGGAGGACGTCTGAGGGGAATTCAGAGATCTCCCTGATTTGGGTGCCGGCCCGGAAAGACCAGTCCATCTGCTGGACAGTTTCGTGGACAGACACGTTTTTGGCAGATTGGTTCTCTGACTTGTCCATTTAGCAGCAAGTCTGACAGAATTAGCCTGTGCTTTGCTTTGAAGCCATGTATGGCTTCAAAGTGACTGCCATGGTCTGGGCCTTGCATGGTTCGTCCTCATTTGTATCTCTTTGTGGGGGGTTTTGTAGAATATTTGCCATGAAATTCAGCAATTATTTCATCCTCTCACACCTCCAGCACAGAGTCCAACAAAGGGAATCTGTATGTTAGAACCAGTGTCTAACAGCTACAGGGGTGGTGAGAGGATATACGCAGCCAATAGTCATTGTAACAGCACTCATGGACCAGTGTGAGTGCCAGCGGCGCCATGACTGCTTGACCCTAGCTTCCCAAAGGAGACCAGCTGATTTACCCGACCCATCTTGCTGGAATAAGGGACCAAATAGGCATGTTGCAAGCCACAGGGTGTACTCATGCATGGCATCACTCAACCTCCAGGACTCCCATCTCCACAGTGCACAAGGCTGCTACATACGCAAACGGGTAAACACGAGGGTAGGTGAGAACCCCTAGGGAGAGACCAGAGAGGATGTCATTCCACTTACAAGATAGGCATCATTGTTTGGAACACTTTATCCCTCCTTCTCCAGTGAGACAGCCAACCAAAGGCTGATTCACCTTAGAGAGGGAGCTCAGATCCTGCACCTCTAAGAGGTGGTTCCAGTGGCAGAATTTGTTTGTATGAGTTACCCTAGTTATATATACTTGTTCACTTAAACATACATCTGTTTGAATTGAACTCTCCAGTTGTACATGGTCTTAGTCTTTTTCTTGTTCGTCCCAAGTCCGACTTTCAGACTTTCTCAATTCAGATCGTTTTTTAGTTGCTGCATTTCATTTGTAGATTCACTGAAGATAACAATATTATCTGCAAATCCTAGATTGTTTAGGTATTTGTCTCCTACTCTGATACCCTTTCCGTTCCGTTCTAGCTTCTTGAATACTTCCTCAAAGCAAGATGATATCGCCCTAACACTTTTTTTAATTGGTATTTTATCGGTTTCCGTAGAGCATGATGGTTGCTGTCCCATCTTCGTATATATCTTCCAGTTAAGGATAGGTCCGATATGCGAAGCTGAGCCTCGCCCGGGGTATGCCCATGAGAGGAGCCTGGCCTGTGTCGACTAATGCCGACTCGCTAACTTGTGTCAGCTGGTGCTAATTCGGTTGAACTTAGTCCTCACCCGCTGTGGTGCCCAACCACAGCAGTAACCTCCAGGCGACTATTGCATCTTCTCTAGTCCGGGCGGGGCGCGAACCGCCGACCCCTTAGATGAGAGGCCTACAAGTTACCACGTTACTGAGGCCATCTTCCAGTGTATTACAACATACCTCCTCTACTCTCTGTCTTCGAATAATCTCTAGTATTGCTGGTATTTGTACAGAGTCAAATGTTTTTTTCGTAATCGATGAATGCCATACATAGGAGTTTCCTTTATTTGTTTATTTTTCTCTTGTTTGGGTGAGCGTGTGGATGTGGTCTGTTGTTGAGAATCCACCGCGGAAGCCTGCCTGTTCTCTAGGCTGGTTAGAATCCAGACTGTCAGAGATATGAGTTGCGATGACTTTTGTGAACAGTTTAAATAACTGAAAGGAGGCTTATGAGTTGGTAATTGTTTTAGATTCTTTCTATCCCCTTTTACATGTATCAAAATAGTTGTTACATTTTTCCAGGCTTTCGCATTTTTTTTTTTTTCGTTGAGAAGACATTTATTAAAAAGATTGGCTAGTTTCACTGTTGCAATTTCTCCTGTATCTATTATAAGGTCTATACTAATTCCGTCTTCACCTGGTGTTTTTCCTCTATTCATACCTATTATTGTAATGTTGGGTACGTCTCTGTGGCTGTTCATTTGAGTTGTTTAGAATCCCTGTAAAAGTCTTCCATTACCCCTATGATTTCATTCTTATTATGTCAATTCTCAATCTATTTTCTTTATTGCATACATTTGATTTCTCCCTATTCCGAATCTCCTTTTAGCTGTATTCATGCTGGTACTTGAGATCACTTATTATTTGAGTACTGAATTTCCGTACATCTTCTTTTTTATATATTCTATAATATATAAGAGAGAACATATTTTACTATATCGCGCCTATGAAGTTATTAAGTCAATTTTGTTTTTGATGTCAGATGGCGACTTCCATGTCCACTTCCACTCTAGTCTTTTTTCGAAGAATGTATTCATGATATTGAGTGATCGATTAGCATTTGACCCCTCTCATCCCTAGTTTCTCCTGTCTTTTTGTTTATTTTTGCATTAAAATGGGTTTTTTACTCTCGCTGGCTAAATGAATAGCTTCATATA